CGTGATGCGTCCGAGATAGCTACACCGGTGTTGGATAGGCCACGATAGAGAGAGAGAGTAGATGGAGTCTTACCGGAGGATCTTGGAACCGGGCACATACGAAAGCGGCGTGAGCTCAATCCACTCGCGCGCACTCGAGCTCTGGTGGAACGGGTTGGGATGCGCATTCGAGAGCGGGCTCATTGGACGGCCTGTCGGCGACCCGACCGAGATGAACGACGACGGCGGGCGGTGCTGCTGGATCTGGAGACGCAGCGCCCGGCGCGCCGTCTCATCGGATTCGTTCTCGTCGTCGTTGTTGCCGTCGCTGGCCGCATGGAACGCATCTTCGTCGTCCTCGGGCACGGGAAAGTTAAGGCTCTGGATGACCACGTCGTCGTCACACGAGTTTTCGTGCCCGTCGAGCATCGCCATGCCCATGAGAACGACCTCAATCTACCCGCACCATAAACAATATGATTCGATGGACGCATGCGTGGAAACGTTTGTACAATGTTCTCGCCTGCGAGGGCGACGCGCGTCTTGAGGCCGCACACGACGCACGGCGCAAACGCTCGGAGCTTGAAGAGGATGCTACACCATACATGTGCTGAGACAGCGCAAGGACGAAACGCAGGCGGACCTCGCAAAGAGGTTTTTAAACACTTGGGAAAAGAGCACGTTGAGGCGCGTGTCCCGCATGTGCTCCTCGTCCCACTCGACGCGCTTCATGGAGAGGAAGAGGTGGATGTTGCGCCCGGGCGACGACGCGCCGGGAAGCCGGTCCGTGTTGTAGATCGAGACGCCTTCGGGCAGCGGCTGCTCGAGCAAGACCGACATCAAGTCTTCGTCCGTCTCGTCATCGATCTCGAGGATGAACGGGTGCTTGGTATCGCTACAGCCCAGCATGGTCCGAGACGATTGCAACAGCGCGATGCGAGACGTACCTAAAGCCGTCCGGGTTGAAGTCTTCTTCCGAGTCGGACGACGACGACGACGACGACGACTTGTTGTCCTTGTCGTCGTCGAGACCATTGCTCTCGTCGAGGCTCACGTTGCTCGACTGCGGCGTCTTGCGCAGGACCGACGCGTCGGCCTCCGAGTCGCCGCGCGAAAGACGCATGGCGCGACCCTTGCGCGATCGACGCTTGACCGGAGCGTCGTCTTCAAAGAGCGGGCGCTGCTTCCACGTCGAAAACTCGGGTGCGATCGTGCCCACTGCATCCTTCTTCATCTAATCGAATGCAATTCCTTTCATCCATTGCTTCCGACAAGTCACGCAGGTCGTACGGCGGCGCGGTTTTGGTTGCTAAGGCGCTCGATCTGCGACTGCAGCTGCACGAGGCGGCGGTCTTCGTCGTCCTTGACCTACAAAAACCACAAAAAACGTGGGTTGAAACTCGTCGTCGTCGTTGCCGTACGTCAATGTTGCGCGTAATGCGCAGCACTTGCGGCAGCGGCAGCGCCGGGAGGTACATGCCCGTGCCCGTGATGATGCCAATGACAAACGAACCGCTGATCTATCCCACAGAGCAATAATGTATCGCGACTCCGACGAAATGACAGTGTCCATACCTGCACTTGGGACTCGAAGCCAAAGAGCGAGTTGACGCCAAGCACACGCATCTTGGCCATGAGCTAGACAACATGGTATAGTGTTGAAAATGCAAAAAGTGCAAAGCACACCTGGCGATGGAGCTCGTACTCGAGGAACGGAAGCGCTTCCGATACGATCGTTGCGTTTACGTCGCCCGCGCCGCGACGACGCTGCCTGCCACATGTGTTCTTGGGCGCATGCGATGGAAAGGAGGGATGTACCGGCAGACGCGGGCTTGGATAAACGCACCGGACCCGGTGAGTGCCATGCCACTGGGCGGCTCGGTGGACGAAAAGAGCATTTCGGGGACCCACTTGCGACCGCAGATGCCGCAGCGCACCATGCGCATGCTAGAATCCAATTGATTCCTCCAGGGCAGCGCTGGCAACACGAAAACATACTTGGAGAAGGGCGCGAGTGAGCGCGAGTACGGAATGTGGCACACAAAGCAAGGCGAGTCTTGGATCGACGGCGCGTTGCCACGGCGGCGCGGGGCCGGCGTCCTACCCCACGCTTCATTCGGATGCCAGAGGAAGAGGTGTCGTACGGGCGAAGGGACGGCGACTGGTCGCTGAGCTCGTCTGTCGATGCCTTGAGGAGCCCACGGTGACGTTTGGGGCCGTACTTGACCACCGCGGCGGTGCCGCTAGCATTTAAGAATGAATAAAACGAGGGATAAAAGATGGAGCAGTACGTGGCCGAGAGGACGCAGACG